TTGGGAAAGCAAACAATTAATTGCACCATTCCCTTGATGAGACCGCATTCAATGCGGTAAGGCTCGGAAATGAAAGGCAATAAATGCTCCTGTTACAGAGCATTTATTGCATCCTCCCCGAGAGGAGAACATTGTACCGTCGACATCCCGATGATCCAGCATTGATTGCTCGGGACCCCGAGCAGTTAATTAGAGAAGACATTCCTCATCAGAATCAATGCACACGCAACCTGTGCCTAATGATCACCTACTGACTACACTGACAGCAATCATGAGCTTTTAAGGTATAAATACTCCTTGCAAAAGGCAAGACGGGTATGCAATAACAAACTCTCTACGACAATACATTTCACTCAGTGTTTTCTCTTTCTTCTCTCTTTCTAAAAAGACTGACTAGATCGTCGGAGGGAATACGCCGGAAAACACTCCGGCGCCCTTCTAACTTGTTCTTCTTTGTTCCAGGATCCTCTTTCAGCCTTACTGGATCGTTCTCCCTCCCATCCAGGGTCTCCCGTTGCCGTTCCAGGTTACCACCGGACCTCGCAGGCTGTTCCAAACGGCGTGGTTGGTTACTCAACTGACACATTCGAAGTTCACCAAGGGAGAGATCTGTTTTCGTTTTTTATATTGTGCAGGATCTTGCACGCACAAACACATAGTATCGATCTGAACAATAACATGTTACATATGTATAGTCTCTCTCTCTCTCTCTCTCTCTCTCTCTGATATATATAGGGTTTCTTGTTATCGATTCATGATATACCGTCTTAATGATAACTTACTATTATCATTGTAATGAATATTACTTGATATATGACATTGTGGCAATCTAGAAAGATTTAGATTGCCACACCCTATTCTAGTTCTGTATAAGTAGGTATACCCATTTCGAATTTGTTAATGAAAGTGTGAAATTATATATCCCAAGTGATCAACCTAGCTATGCTTCGACTTGTTGGACACAGTTGTGAAAATGTCTGTGACGGGGTCCAATTTTTTGTTATCATTTTGTTAAGATACATGTATGAGTGAAGAGATGGTTATCGGGTAATTGAAAAAGTGTCGCCATGGTTTGTGACAACACTGTGTGCCATCAGCTGGATGCCCATTGACCTACTTGTCTTGATCTATGAACATGGTATGGAGAGTTGGTCATCAAATTCTCTTCTACGTCTTTTGTTGCTTTCAGAAACTAGTCGTGGTTGGAAATGAATTCTCTTTTTTCTGTTTCG